GGGAGGCTGAGGCAGGAGAAACGCTTGAAGATGGGAGGCAGAGGTTATAGTGAACTGAGATTGCACCATTACACTCCTGCCTGGGCAACAAGGGTTGATACATCCGTATTAAAAAAAATAAATTTGGGGCTGGGTGCAGTGGCTCACGCTTGTAATCCCAGCACTTTGGGAGGCCGAGGCGGGCGGATCACCTGAGGTTGGGAGTTTGAGACCACCCTGACCAAAATGGAGAAACCCCGTCTCCATTAAAAATACAAAATTAGCCGGGTATGGTGGCACATGCCTGTAATGCCAGCTACTTGGGAGGCTGAGACAGGTGAATCGCTTGAACCTGGGAAGTGGAGATTGCGGTAAGCCAGAGATCGCGCCATTGCACTCCAGCCTGGGCAACAAGAGCGAAATTCCGTCTCAATAAATAAATTAATTAATTAATTTTAAGACAAACAGGAAAATTAAATAGCTGACTCATTCACCATAGAGAAAGCAAAGAGGTGAGAGGAATCAAAAAAAGGCAGGAAGGGAAAATGCATTCGAGGACCTATCACTGGCAAACATATATCCCAGGCTGAGCTATAAATTAAACACTACACTTTTACTCAAGTACAATTTGGTAATTTAGAACTTTAAAAAAACTTACTACCAATACTTGATGAAATTGAAAAAAAATTGCTTACCATAAGATTTTTTTACAATTACATTGTTACTTAACCTGAGAGCCAACTACTTCATGGAAATGATCCAGGACTTATTTCTTATGCCATACCCATTATACAAAATAATTATTGATCCTTAATTAATATTCTTCATTTAAGAAATAAGATTCAGATGTTTCAGTTCATATCCTTTACCGTGGTACTGGGAGTGATATAATCCTATTCATGACACCACAATTAACTTTTTTAGAGGTCATGTCATAAACAGATCATCCTTCATTTTAAAAAGCTATACTAGGACAAGCATGGTGGCTTAGGCCTGTAAGCCCAGCCCTCTGGGAGGCCGAGGTGGGCAGACTGCTTGAAGTTAGGAGTTCAAGACCAGTCTAGTTGACATGGTGAAATCCCATCTCTACAAAATATACAAAACTTGGTCGGGTATAGTGGTGCACTCCAGTAGTTCCAACTACTCAGGAGGCTGTGGCAGGAGAATCACTTGAACCCGGGAAGTGGAGGTTGCAGTGAGCCAAGATCACATCATTGTATTCCAGCCTAGGAGACAGAGTGAGACTCCATCTCTAAATAAATAAATAAATAGATAAGCTATACTAGTTAACTTTTTTGGGGTCAAACTCTAGGAAGTGTCTTTAACTTTTTTAATTAATTTATTTTAGATTCAAAGGGTACATGTGTATATTTGTTACATCAGTATACTGTGTAATGCTGGGGACTGGGCTTATACACGTATGACCCAAATATTGAAACTTGAACCCAAGACGTACTTTTTCAATCTTCAGTCTCCTCCCAAACTCCCCCATTTTGGAATGCTCTGTGTCTACCATTTTCATCTTTATGTCCATGTGTATCTATGTTTAGCTCCCACTTATAAGTGAGAAGATGAGATATTTGACTTTCTGTTTCTGAATTAGCTCTCTTAGGATAATGGCCTCCAGCTCCATCCATGTTGCTGTAAAGGACATGATTTCATTCTTTTTACGGCTACCTAGTTAATTCTTAAATATAAATCTAACTTTCCATGTTAACTGGTTGTTTTAAATTAAAAAATTTTAAAAACTTCTGTGAGGTTTTCCAATATACTTTTCCTTCTGTAAGTAGTTACTGGCAGTATATTTTAAAACATTTTTGCCTTAAATTAAAAAATATATATACTTTATTATATAATACATGAATACATATAGTTTTAATACATAAAATAATAAAATCTCTCTGGGCCCAGTGGCTCATGCCTGTAATCTCAGCACTTTGGGAGGCCAAGGCGGGTGGATCACCTGAAGTCAGGAGTTCAAGACCAGCCTGGCCAACATGGCAAAACCGAGGATTGCTTGAGCCAAGGAGGTCATGATCACACTACTGCACTCCAACCTGGGTGACAGGGTGCAACTCTGTCTCCAAAAAAAAAAAAGAAAAAAGAAAAGGAAGAATTTTAGACTAAGGCAGAGGGTACAGGCTTTATTGGAAAGACTGAGTATGAATTTGGTCCTGAAATAATAGCAGAATTTTAGTAAGTGGAGAAGACAAAAAGGAATTTGAGGAAGATGAAATAGCATAGTCAGAAATGGAGAGAGAGACAAGTCTGGGACACACTTATGCCTTATATATGCACTGTACTTATGGATCACTGAGCATTATTTAGGGGACAGGAAACAAAACATTCAGGTCAGGACAGAGGGGTATACAGTTAGAAGGAAACAGAGATTTCAAAGGGCTCTAAAAA